ATAGCAAGTAGGCTTTGTACTCTCATTCAATTGCTCAAGCTCATTTTGCAAGAAGTCATTAAATAACTCGAGAATGTCACTTTCTCCAGAGCCGCTTGTCTCGACATATTTTGACGATGAAGCTTTGAGTGCAACTCCTTTGAATGATAGATTTTGATCCCTTTTGATCTCCGCTGCACTAGAAAAGTTAGACATTTCATAAGTGAGTAGTTTACCTCGAAGTGCGTCATATGTCAATGTATTGTAATCTCGGCCTTCTTTGATAGGGTTGACCGTAGACTTCCATTCCGGTGTGAGACTTCGAAGGATTTTTCGAACGAGAACATGATCCTCATAATGCTTTCCAAGTGTATCCAAATTTGAGACGATAGTTGAAAATCTCTCGAACATGCCATCTATTGTTTCATTTTCCATCATCATGAAAAGCTCATACTCATGGGTGAGTAAGTCGATCTTTGAGTTCTTCACTTGACTTGTTCCTTCATATGCGACCTCTAATTTGTTCCACATCTCATTGGCCGTCTTGCACCTTGAGATTTTTCGATAGTCATCCGGGTTCACGGCACAATATAGAAAGTTGATGGCCCTTGCATTTAGTTGCATCTTCCTCTTGTCATTTGAGGTATATTCAGTCTCTAACTTTGGAACAAGAACCCCGTCAACAATCTTCGTGGGAACCGTCTCTCCATGCTTGATCACCATCCAAGAATCATAATCATTTGATTGGATGAATATTCTCATCCTCTCTTTCCAATAAGCATAATTTGTTCCGTCGAAGAGTGGTGGCCTTGTCGTCGATTGTCCTTCGGCAACTCCGGGTTGAAATGTTCTTCCGGCCATGATCTTTTTAAATTTTCAGCGGTAAAGCTTTGAAAATCCCTCGCTCCGATACATATTGTTAGACGCCTCGCACACCTCTAGAGGGGGGGTGAATAGAGGTGTTGCCCAAAAGACCGGTTTTTTTTTTTTGCACGGAAACGTTCTTCACGAATATTCAACAAAAACAATGCACCACAAACAAAATAAAGTGAAGGATAAGAGCAATGCACACACGATATATACTGGTTCGGCCTAAATGCCTACATCCAGTCCTCGAAGCAATCGTGCCCAGGCCTTCACTAACCCGTCAAACTTAACGGAGTTTGACAATCCGAATACAACTCGAGAACTTGATTTCACAAAACTCAGGATTTCTTCCACCTAACGTTTGATTTCACAAACCGTTAGGATTTCTTGTAACACCCCAACCCGCATGACCCAAACCCGTGAGACAGCGGACCGGTGTGCCACTGAATTGGTATCCGAATTTGCGACATTTTCAAAACAATTTTAAACAAACGTTCTATCAATACATATAAAAATTCATCGGAGTAATTTAAAATAATGCGGAAGCCTTTTTAAAGTCAAACAACTTGGGATCTTGCCCGAAAACGTAATAAGCATTAAAGTTAATTAAATAAAGCATAATCAACAGATTAAAGAGACAGCCACGCCATCGTACATCTCCTCCTCAATGCCCTCTGGGATCGGCTCTAGGTTCATCTGTCTGATCACCTACGGACAGCAAAAGAAAACAACGCTATCCGCTCAGCATTGATGCTGAGTGGTACTCCATTGTAACACAAGAATAAACATAATAATTCAACAATTAAGATCGTGCATATGTTTATCCTTTTAATAAAAATCAATTCAACTTTACAT